ATATTAGGCCTATATATAATGTATCTGTATGTATATGTATATATATATATGTTATATGCATATGGTTATGATATTATTGAATTATTTGATATTGTAAATTATTCATTCAAATATGTACGATTTTATGTATTTTGATGTGTGGTGATGTTTTGTTTTGCTTTTGTATATGATCTCAATTTTTGGAGGCAATCTTGAATAAATTGAACTTAAAATAAACTAAGTCTCATGACAATAACAATAATTAAAATAACATGAAATATAATGATAATTTATATTTTGTTTCCTTTAATTTTAGCCTCTATATAATATATAGTCTTAGTCCCATTATAACTGAGAGTAGAGTTGTTTTGTGGTGGTGAAGAAAAAACGGACCTTTGACCTGAACCTAGGTCGCTGGAATCATGGACAGAAAGTATTTAGCCATTAAACTGCATATTATTTAAAACTGCATGATTTATAATTTTGTTGTTCGCACTCCAACAACAAACCCCAAAAAATGATGAATCATAGCTTAGAGGACCTTTGTCCTAGTGTCCGTTATACTTCTGTTGTCGTCTTGGGCCTACAATAAGGAAATGATACTTTGTATCACCTTGGTCATTCCTTCGCTTCTTTGACCGCATGGACATTATCGCAGTTTATATTGTATATGACATTTGTCCGTTTTGTCTTATCTGACACCCAAAAGTTGTTAATACAAGGAGGAGATAATATAATAATAATAGGCCTATACTTTGATGTGCAGTATGATGTCATCCTAATGTTCGTATATCTGAGACGCAAAGACGCATGCGAACTTTCACTTAAGGAACTCGATCACCAAAGGAGGTTTCATAAAAAGTTATCAACTATATGAAAACAGCCTGATTTCTGGTTTTTCGGTTTGACTAAATTATTCGTGTTACTTTAAGTTCAATAATCACTGTACAGTCTCTGCAGAAGCAGGAATTTTACCGTTGGTTAAATCTTTATTGCCCTAGACCCACGATAGGTATGAGGTACGTAGGCCCATTTGTCTTTCAGGTCCTATTGTATACTTTAATATCTTGTAGCGGAAAAGTAAACGCACAGGTATCAGTAACAATTTTATACGAGCACCTCGAAACTATTACAAACGACACCGTCCGGGAAGTTTGCAGGCAAGTAAACGATATATTTTTATAATAATTATTGGATTTTGTTTATTGGTTGCTGTACTTCGTCTGGTATAGGCATATACAGCAACCAATAAACAAAATCCAATAATTATTTATTGTTGCTGTATTTCGCCTCGTATACATAATTATCATTACATGCAAATACATTAATAATATTTACAAAGATACTGGTTAATAAACATTGAAGTACCTCTCCTATTATTCAATTGAGTCAACAAAAAGTCGGCCTAATTATAACACATTTTAATAATAATGATAAAAGATACAAAAATATGTGATATATATCTGTCTCTTATACACATCTAGATGTGTATAAGAGACAGCAACATACACTACATTATGCAAAAGTCCTACATCTAGATTTAGTTTCATAATATAAATTGTTAGGGTTCTAGTGGCATGAACTTCAATTGAATGAACTAAGCCACAAAAAAAAGTTTAATGTAATTTCAAATTGCATCTGTGATAGACCTGAGACGATCGAAGCAGATTATATTATCAAGATAAGAAATTACACTTTATGGTTCACTTTATCATCTATTTAGGGCTAACATACGGCAACGTATAGGGATTATTTATAATTAGTAACGGTTGTTCTGGGAGATCTTAAACATAGCATGTACTTAGTGAAGATTCACTGTGGAGTGATCGTATTATGATGACATTGCACAGAATCAAAGGCTATGATTAAATGTATGTACATGCCATCCCTTTGTACATCCCATAGGAGTACAGACCGATTTAGGATTCGTGGTTAAGAGTCGTTTTACAAGGACAACGTATTCCGCACATAATGTAAATTGTTAGGATCATTGCAATTGACGATAAGAGTGATAATAGATGAGTATTGTTTTTCGTCTTAAATAATATGACACGTTTACTAGGCCTATAATAGAACCATAAGCGCTCAGATTTTTCTCTATTTACTTCAATAGGCCTATTTGGAATTGTATATTTTTATTGTGACCTAAATGTAACTTAACGAATAATGTAAATGAATGAACGGCTTGAGATACTATACTTGTTTGTTTAAAACATATTCGTTGACTTTATATCTTCTAAAAACCAATTTCCAATCCAGGTATGACGTCATTTCCTTATTCGGTTGGTCTTTGTACAATGCCTGTGAAACGGAGTGCTCGAGGAGGAAATTTGATTGTGACCTTAGTAAGTAAAATGTTTGTGACCTGGAAGAATAAGAACTACATTGTTCACAACCTTCCGGAAAAGGAAGTAGTTTGTATACAGTTATCTGCGGGTGTATAAACAACGTAGGCCTACAATCCTGGTGCACTTTTAAGTATCATTTCATTTAGTTTAAACCAGAAGGACCCTACTGAAAAGGTTTTGGAATTTCTTTGGTAATCAAAATTAAATAACAAAATGTTATGATAACGAATACAATAATTGTAAACGTTGTTATTAAGTTTTGTCAAAAAATGACGTTAACACAAAAGTTCAGCATCGTACCAAATTATTATCGGTACGTTACTTATTGTGGTTCTATTAAAATACATTTTTTGAGGTTTCACGGTTTGTGACTGTAAAAAAGTCTGGTCAGGAACGAACTTATATTTCGTCACTCACTTTTCATATTATAGAATGTCCTTGTCGTAACGGTGCTAAATGCAATCCGACCTTGAGTTTGTGTCAGTGTGCACCAGGCTGGTGGGGGGACTTTTGTCAATATCCATGTGAGGATGGTTTCCATGGTAACGGATGCAACGTCCGTTGTCAGTGTAATAAAGACGAGATTTGTGATCACGCAACTGGAAGATGCAATGCAAAGTAAGACTTACTTTTATAATCTTAATCACAAGATATATGCCTACATAACAACACGAGATATAAGTAATATATTGGTGGATAACAGGTTATTGTAAAATATTAATTTATGCGAATGAAACATAGAAATGAGTTGTGTTAGTCATAAGTTTCTTATGGCTAATGTGACGTCATGTGGAAAATAAATACATCTTCCATACAATCGCTACATGATATCGCTGGTATGTTTGGTGATACGGATTGGTCGGGCGAATCGTGGGGCCTTCCCGTTTGTGTCGGGGACTCTACGCAGTACAACAATTCCACTAAAAACACTGTAGCGATAGTGTAGCAATTTTAGGAAAACCAGGCTTTAATTAGATTTATCAATGATAATTCATCAACACACACATTATTATTGTAGAACGCAAAATAAGACACTCAAATTTGCTTCTATGATTTCAAGATTCTTTAATTGCAGTGCAACATCTTTTGACCAATAAACAATAGCGACGTAAGCGAACGTACACAAAACCCCTACGATAAAATATAAATAAAACTCATTAAGTCTCAAGTCTAAACAAAGAATGTATAAGACAAATCAAATGCTTAAACTTACTTAACTAACCAAAATATATATTATCGTGGTATTAACATAATCATAAAACGGTAAGAAAATATCTTATATCGTAACTGATTAAATATAAATGTAAGAGTCTGTCTCTTATACACATCTAGATGTGTATAAGAGACAGCGGCGGGAGTAACTATGACACTCGGAG